CTGGAGGGGGGGGTGGGGACGGCTGGGGAGGGGAGACAGGACGGCTGGGAGAGATTAGCCGGCTGGGAGGGAGATGGGACGGCTGGGAGATGGGACGGCTGGGAGGGGGAGATGGGACGGCTCGGGGGTAGGAAGAAAAGAGACGGGCCGGAACATGTGCAGGTAGAGAGAGAGAGAGAGAGGTGAAGGTTAGGGAAGATGGGGATTGCCACAGACATACAGCAATGGCCTTAATGGTTTAAACCGCCAGCCACAAGACGAGTTATGCTATTGTGAACGTGTGCAATCATGTAGCTGGTGTTAAATTATAATATATACTGTCAACTAACATTACTTGGCTGTGTGTTGTGACCGCAATTCTTACAATAGACAGAGAGAGATGTAATGTAAGTGTGGTTTAAGTGGGTCAACTGCTACCTCTACTTCTGGTAATTTGCAACACTTTTTATTTGTAGCAATATTTTCTTTGGCAAGTGCAGTTGAATCTATTGCCCGAAGTGTCCCCCTGTTAAAGACTGAAGATATTAGAAGCAGCATGATTTAAGCCGGTGGTACTATAATAGAGGAACAAATCAATGGCAGGGAGTTTCACAGGATGCTTAGTAGGTTACGGAGTATAAATTTCTTCAGATAGGCAGAAATTCTGAAAAAAAGAAGAAATATCAACAGAAAAGCTGAGGGTCCTTCCACATGCCCTCGTAGGCCGATAGAGGGTGTGTGGTATATATGCATTACTCGTCTATTGTCAGAACATTGTAGACTATATAATATACAGCGCAAGGTGATAAGAGGGTCATGACCAGTTGCCAGCATTAGGGGAACACCAAATCTCCGACGCTACTGAGAATGACCCTAAATATCCATATTTTAGAGAGTTTTCATTTACTTGCAGCAGAACTACAGTGTACAGTCGTGTTCGCCGCCAGTCATATTGGCTTCAGTAATTGTAAAAAAAACTTACGAACATCTGAAAATATGGTTCATGTAGTCAACAAAAAATTCTGTACCTTTACAATATGACACACCGGACCAAGAATTCTGAACAACATGGGTTTGATATGTATTCCTGTCAACTATACATGATATACAGAATACATCGTACTGGTTACACAATGCATAACACAAGTAGAAGTACCAACCTTACCAAATTAACATGGCCTCCGTCAGTGATCGCTGCGAAGACTGTCAGATCCCGAGGTGCAGAATATTTTTTTTATTGTATTTTAGTCGACATCACGAGAAGTTTGAAGTATTTTGGTGGACGTTACGGGATGTTTAAGTATTTTGGTGGACGTTACGAGATGTTTAAGTATTTTGGTGGACGTTACGGGATGTTTAAGTATTTTGGTGGACGTTACGAGATGTTTAAGTATTTTGGTGGACGTTACGAGATGTTTAAGTATTTTGGTGGACGTTACGAGATGTTTAAGTATTTTGGTGGACGTTACGAGATGTTTAAGTATTTTGGTGGACGTTACGAGATGTTTAAGTATTTTGGTGGACGTTACGAGATGTTTAAGTATTTTGGTGGACGTCATGAAAAGTTTTAAGAAGTCATCTTAATATACAGTATTATCAGCATTATTATTACTTGCCAACAGCAGAGAACTTCACCCTGTCATCTCACGAGAACCTGACTGGCCCCCGAACCAACATCTCTCTCCTCACCACCTCTAGTACACCATGGCAACACCTTACTGAGAGGAAAGAAAACACAGCTGTAAAGAACAAGTTGATCATCACACGACAGAGCCATCGTGTTTAGGGGGATGGGAGAGCAGTTATCCTATTATTTCTTAACCAACTGTGAAATTTGTTTTTACCGAGTTAAAGTCAGCCGAATCATCTTTAATCATGAGTAGTGTTCCTTAACTTCTTCTTATTGTATTTTTTTTTTTATTGCTTCTATACTATACTGTTAAGCTCGACCTTATATTTCGGAAAACGTCACAAAACGTTAAGCTCGAAAATGTGCAGAAGCTAGCAGCCAATTTAGTGTGTGTGTGTGTGTGTGTGTGTGTGTGTGTGTGCGTGCGTGTGCGGTGCTGTCATAATGATCGAACGCACTAAAAATTGAAGAATATCATTGTTAGCAGAGAAATAGCGCTCAGGTAAAGACTCAACGAAAGACAACAATATTATTTCTACATCCAGCACCAGCCGCAAACAAGTTGATGGTTTAGTAAATCTAACCCAAGGTCCTTTTTTTTTCAGCGTACGTCATCAGTGGTAAGAATCCTGGCACCTTAAGCACCACACACATAATAGTGGTTGCCCCTCGTGTAACGAGGATTGCCGGCCCAAGGGCCACCTAGGCGTGAAGTTGTTTTTAAGGTGCAGAAGCTGTCGCCAACACAACAACAACGTCATAAATTAACGAGTTGCATGACCCAGTGTCAAGGAATAGTCCGAGAAGGCCGGACAACTCGCCAACTGCACTGGCAAACCATTACCCCGGAACACGATCCGCAAATCGATTAACATCCAGGTTCCCAATTAATGCTGGGTAGAGAGAGGCAAATGGCGTAAAGAAATTTGCCCATAGTTTCGCCCTGGCCGGGCATTGAACCCGAGTCCGCTCGCTTGCGATGTGAGCATGCTGACCATTACACCAAAGGTTGACACACACACTCACACTTGTGCTAGAAGTTTAGAATTTAAGATTTACATTACACGTTACCTACATTACGAGTGTGCAAAACTATAAATTATGCTTACATATTGGATGCATTATATCAGGGGTTGAAAATACCACCTGCTTGCTTGCTTGCTTGCTTGCTTGGTCGAAACAAACTGAAAACAAGCAACGGGCAAATCTAAACAGCGTCTTAACATACCCGTCAGACAACCTATTTTTTAGGGGGTTGTACTTGGTTGTGTTGACATTACACACACACACACACACTACAAACTTGTCAGAATATTCGAATCACATGAACATATTTGGTTACACTCCCCACAGTTTATATCATATTAAGATTGACCAATCTACCGCTAACCTAACTTAACCAAACCTAATCTCATCTAACTAAATTATCTTTATCTAAAATTTAACCAAACTTAAACCTAACCCCTCAGGTATAGCATGAAGGTGTTTAGTTATCAGGTAAATTTAATAAGCTCGTGGAGAGGAGCCTGGACTAATCTTCAGGTGATAGGAATACATGAATACACCAAAGACATCAAAGGTAGGTGTGTGTGTGTGTGTGTGTGTGTGTGTGTGTGTGTGTGTGTGTGTGTGTGTGTGTGTGTGTGTGTGTGTGTGTGTGTGTGTCCTACTCCGGAAAATACACATCTCATCATCATTGATTATCGTCGTAGTTGTTGTTGTCTAGGAAATCCCAGAATATCCTTTGTTGTGTATTACTCTTGTGGTTTAGACGTGACTGATATAATTTCCGGTGTGATGAGCTTCTAACCTTTAAAAAAAACAACTACAGAGGAATCCTTAAAAAATGAGCAGGTAATCTAACAAAATGAGCAGGTAATCTAAAAAAATGAGCAGGTAATCTAACAAAATGAGCAGGTAACCTAAAAGCGCAGGTAACTTTAAAAAACAAAGCAGGTATTCTAAAAAATCGAACAGGTAATCTAAAATAAATTGCAAGTAACCTTAAAAAATGAGCAGGTAAATTTAACAAATAGAGCAGGAACCTAAAAAAGCGGCCAGGTAACCTAAATATAAAGCAGGTAACCTAAAAACGTGACTGGTACAAGTTTCGAAGATTTTTAGGTTAACAGGTATTATTAGCCTGAAGTATTAGGTATTAATGGGAAGGTTGAGGCTCTAATTAAATGAGTGAACATGGTGTCATCTACAGTATATCCGTAATAAATTAACTCAAAGTAAATAATAAATTTACAAGGTGTTTTAAAGTTATTTGAACCCTATTGCTGATATAAGTATATCTGGAAAATTTCTTTAACAGGTTCGTAGCCTAGAAGGAACCTCTCCGGTTACTGAATGGAACTGGCGCTGGCATATATGTATTAACTGTTAAATTAGTAACGAGGCTTTAAGTTAAACAGAAGTAAACATAAGCAACGGCATACAAAGTACAGAGTATTTTTGTCATTATCTCAGTTTAAAAAAAAAAATCCATGAACTAACATTAGAAATCACCCGTAGAATCAGTAAAAAAAATCGATGTTTATGTTAAGACAATCTTATACTGTACATAGATTGATAGTAAGACTGCAAGTGTCGTCGTCATTTGTGAGAGAAGAACAACATTTAATTTTATCCTCAGCAAATAAAACACGAAGGGAGACGTCTGATAGCTATCCATCAAGGTGCCCTGTGTACCAATGCTAATGACGGAAGATATTTAAAGCAGGATGATTTGAACTGGTGGTGGTTATATGACACAGCAAAAACACAACATGACAGGGAGTTCAGTGAGTGTTAGTCCGGGTTAAGTGAATTTTGTTATGTAGATGTCTGCAAAATGGAATTTCAACAGAAAAGGCTTCAGCCCTCTCAGATGAGCATGGGTGAGTGCGCACGTTATGTGTGACAAAGATTACGTTGTGCAGGAGTAGAAATGAATATATTGCACGTTATATGTGAGAGGCAATGAGTAATACATCTTGTTATATCACTATTCTGCGTCTGTCTGGGTGATGCTGGCGCTGGGTGGTGAAAGGTGGCTTTTGGAAAGTGCTGATGGTCGGAGAGTGAGAAACCAGGGAAGGTAAGGTCAAAGGCAAGAGTGCGTGCGTGTGTGTGTGTCTGTCTCTATGTCTGTCTATCTGTCTGTGTGAGATATATTTAGATTTACAAAACTTGGAAACAAGACCACTAGTCTAGTATGGTCTAGACTTACAACTCTCCCTCGACACTCATCAGCATCTCGTTAACTATAACTTGTAGGTACTGACTCACGGATGCCCCCACCCAACCCACACCACCACACATACACAATCCGATCACAATTTCCACCCTTTTAAGAGCTATCAAGATCTTCACAAACATCTAAGACTCATCGCCCGATACTCACCCGCTGAAGATTCCATAACACTCTCCTCCGACTCCACCACACCAACTGACCTGAAACATAGGGAATTCCAGGTGTTTATATAGCCTCGGGCCTCGTGAACGTCAGAGCACCATATTATGTTATCAATCCAGAATCAGGTCGTACGTGAGCATAATGTTCTGACCCTTAGCTGGATCCCCCAACACGAAGATCCGATCACAGGTAAAATTCTTCCTGATGAAGATGGCGACCTTATGGTTGCCAAGATCGGATTTATTTCTGAAATTCGGGGAAAATAAGTTCTTGGGTGTCTTAATGGAGAGAGTAATACACGAAGATATTACGTTACACAACACGAAGAGAAGAAACAGTGCAGTCAATGTGAAGTTACTCTAGAGTCATAAGTATGAGGCACAAATGAAAATAATAAAAACACTATATAATGATTTACCAACAAAATCCTGGTATAATCTATAATAAATTGTTTCAGACATTGCCTAAGTCATGGACCCAGACTAATGGGCACTTTACTCTCTCAACCATCATTATCCAGCTGCCAATATATTAGTCACACACTTCGTAAATTCTTTAGGTGCTTTAGTTTGTTTTGCTTCACAGTGTTTCGGTGAAAATGGTTGACACATTTTTGTCCAACAGGAACTTAGATGGGATTTTAAATTCACTTTTCGTACCGTACTTGAGTACTACAGTATATTGGTGTGTTGTGTGTTTAGAACTTGTCTTTATGAGTTTTGCATTTGCATGTTGATAATATTAATTTAGTTAAATCTCTGTTAAACCTATTTTAGCACTGTAAACTGGAAATATTTTTATACACTGTACATTTTGCGCAACAACTGTTCAAATTTCATTGTTATAAGGAGGAAGGAAGCTTAGTGGCCTGACGCAACACAATCTAGCCTAGTGCGGAAAAGTTGCTGCAAACAACCCCACCAGCAACCTTCTTTTCATTTACTCAACTTTCATATTTGTTATAGCTTGCTAATTTATTTATATCACAGAATTATGCTTCGTAATCTAATAATATACCAATTACCTTCACATTTTTTTTTACATTAAGCAATATAGTTGTTAGTCATAGCAGAATAAAACAAATTAATGTTCGCTCTTCGTTCCCAGGTAGAACTTACATTAATTTGGCATTGTCAATTGTTGAAAAGAACTCACCGGTAACCAATCCAGGTAAACTAAAGATCAAAAGAACACAGGAAGCACAGTATATGACCACAGGCGAGGACGAGACACTATAGAACACAGTATATGACCACAGGCGAGGACGAGACACTATAGAACACACTATATGACCACAGGCGAGGACGAGACACTATAGAACACAGTATATGACCACAGGCGAGGACGAGACACTATAGAACACAGTATATGACCACAGGCGAGGACGAGACACTATAGAACACAGTATAGAACACAGTATATGACCACAGGCGAGGACGAGACACTATAGAACACAGTATATGACCACAGGCGAGGACAGACACTATAGAACACACTATATGACCACAGGCGAGGACGAGACACTATAGAACACAGTATATGACCACAGGCGAGGACGAGACACTATAGAACACAGTATATGACCACAGGCGAGGACGAGACACTATAGAACACAGTATATGACCACAGGCGAGACAAGACACTATAGACACAGTATATGACTACAGGCGAGTATAGAACACAGTGACCACAGGCGAGGACGAGACACTATAGAACACAGTATATGACCACAGGCGAGGACGAGACACTATAGAACACAGTATATGACCACAGGCGAGTATAGAACACAGTATATGACCACGAGGGACGAGACCTATAGAACACAGTATATGACCACAGGCGAGGACGAGACACTACATATATGACCACAGGCGAGGACGAGACACTATAGAACACACTATATGACCACAGGCGAGGAAGAGACACTATAGAACACAGTATATGACCACAGGCGAGGACGAGACACTATAGAACACAGTATATGACCACAGGCGAGGACGAGACACTATAGAACACAGTATATGACCACAGGCGAGGACGAGACACTATAGAACACAGTATATGACCACAGGCGAGGACGAGACACAATAGAACACAGTATATGACCACAGGCGAGGACGAGACACTATAGAACACAGTATATGACCACAGGCGAGGACGAGACACAATAGAACACAGTATATGGCCACAGGCGAGGACGAGACACTATAGAACACAGTATATGACCACAGGCGAGGACAAGACACTATAGAACACAGTATATGACCACAGGCGAGGACAAGACACTATAGGATCTCTATGTGTGTGCATGTGTAACTATAATAATAATAATTAACGGTTTATGAGAAAATAAGGAGTCTGCAATAGGCCGGTTGGCCTGTGCATGACAGCTCCTGTCGAGAGTTACTACCACTCTCTATCATCCAAGAATCTATCTAGCCTCCTTTTAAAACTTTCCAGCGTTCCAGCACTTACTACAAAGTTGCTAAGCTTGTTCCACTCGTCCACCACCCTATTTGTGAACCAGTTCCTTCCTATCTCCCTCCTAAACCCAACTTAAATCCGTTGCTACGAGTCCTATCCTGCTCGGATATTATAAGAACTTTATCTATATCTCCTGTATTGATTCCTTTCCCCCACTTAAATATTTCTATCACATCTCCCCGCACTCTTCGTCTTTCTAGGGAATGCAAGTTGAGTTTCTTTAATCTATCCTGATATGGAAGGTTTCTAAGTCCCGGAAACATTTTCGTCATTCTTCGCTGCACCGACTCCAGTGAATTGATATCCATTCTATAATAAGGGCACCAGAACTAAACAGCATAATCGAGGTGCGGCCTGACTAGCGCAAGATTCAGTTGCAATAAGACCTCTGCACTCTTATTACTTACACTTCTAGATATAAAACCTAATATTCTGTTTGCCTTATTTCGAACATTAAAGCACTGTTTTCTAGGCCGTAGGTCCGGGCTTACAAGTACCCCTAGGTCTCTTTCACAAGTCGACTTCTCTAGGTTGATGTTGTTAAGGCTGTATACATTGACAGTGTTTGTTCTGCAGCCCGAAGGCTGAAAATATACATTAGGCAAAAATTACTTATTGCAGACAGAGACATAGGGTATGTGGGTCGTTGAACAAAAGGGGTGTGTGTGTGTGTGTGTGTGTGTGTGTGTGTGTGTGTGTGCGGGCCGGCGGGTAGGGGGTGACTACACTTTCTGCCAGTCGTCTCAACAGGCAAAGTTTCTGTGTATATGTATTGGTTTGTATTTGTGTACCTATGTGTATATTTGCATATCCTGATGTAGTGTAGGGTTTGTGTATGTTTTCTTTGCTCCGAGCGCGGTCTGTGTGTGTGTGTATGTGTGTATATATAACTGTGGGTGTACGTGTGAATGTGTGCTTGGTTTCCTCTGCGTCATGGATGAAGCAACAACTCGTGGGGAGAAAATATGGAACTTGGTGGTGGTGAAGTGTGATAGCAATGACGGTAATCATATGGATGAATGCTGAATGACAGATGATGACAATTGTGGATGGATGGCTATGATGAATGATGGTGAACGGATGGACGATGACCAGTTGATGATGATGATGTTTGTGTGTGTGTCCAACTTTATGAAGACACAGGACTCACAACATCATATCCCAACAGTTGACTATTACCGTGGAAGGACCGCCTCCCTCATACACTTTTACCATTACCAGGATTAACACTTGCTTACGAAATTACCGCCTTGTCAACCTTGCCTCGCCGCCACCCACCCACCACCTCCAGTCAAGTCTTCACCCGTAGTTCATAGTTTTTTTTTTTTATTTCGCTATCTAATCACTAGGCCTTTTCCATTCTCATAGGCCTCCTTTCTGCATTGTGTATGGTATCAAAATATTTTAGGTTTAGTCAGTGCCAGATAATCAAATATTGTGTCCCATTGGCTCAGTAAAATAGGAATAAGTTAACTTTCCAATTTTTTTCATTTTCCTTGAACGACGTAATAAAACTAACCAGTCCCCCCCCTCCCCCGCGTCCCACGCAACTGCTGGGCAAATTTAGATTAGGTTAGGTTAGATCAGGGGTCACCAAACTACGGCCCGCGGGCCGGATCCCAAGTCCTTCCCCGGCTCGTGGTAGCTCCGCCTATGCTCTGACGTTACCAGAGCTTTCGTTCTGGCTTGCAAGTATTGAACAGAATGATTATGCGGCCCGCGCTCGTCATTCTTTCAGTTATCCGGCCCACTGTGAAAAAAGTTTGGTGACCCCTGGGTTAGATCGTTAAACTAAAGCAATCTTTGTAGACTGCACACCAAATTAACACCAAATATTGCTCTCTTATGCCTCGTGAAGCAATATATTATCTTAACAATTTGATAATACATTGCATTCACTAACAGAACTTAAGTAGGTAATTAATCACAGTTATACAGTCACTCCCCACCTCCCGTTACAAAGGCGGTTGCGGGAAGAGTAGAGGCGGGGGAGGAACCGTAGTAACATGATGAGTGTCCGGCCTTGGGCTAGACGTCGGTGCTAGGCTTGATATAGGGGTGTGTCTGTCTGTGTCTTCTTCCTGTGTTGGTTGGGGAACTTATGTGGTTGTTTGTGGTGGCGATGGTGGGTGATGATGATGGTTGTGGTTGGTGGTGATGGGTGATGATGATTGTGGTTGTTACTAGGGAGGTACTGTTGTGGTTGATGGTGATGATTGTTGTGGTAATATTGATTGTTTGGTGGCGACAATATATTATGGTTGGAGGAGGAAACGAACAACCAAGTCTTAAAACAAAACGTAATGTCAGTGAATAACGTTAGTGGTTTAGTCGATAATGTCATGGTGGAGTGTCGGAGATGGATGGTGGCGGCGGCAGCAGCAGCTACTGTACTCCCCGTGTCAGTCAGTCAGTCAGTCGGACAGTTTTAATGGCACCTTCCTGTGAGAGCGACGCCTAGTTTAAGCTGATAACGGAGGCATATGTCACGAAAGTTGTAAAACCCTAGATAACTCACCCACCACGATATTCAACAGTAAATTATGAAATACAGTATATCCTTCCGTTAAATTTCATCACGTCGGTTACTTGGAATGTGAAACAGTCTCCTTGTTAGGTTTCTTTCTTCCTCCCCCGCGACGCCAAAACCCTGATCCTGGAACTGTTACCAACCTGTTGTTCATTAATATCCAAGTGTTATATTGTACAATTTTATTATTATTATTATCAGGACGGAATTTTTTTCATGTTTATTTTATTTT